CAAAGCATTACCTCTTCCCCCACGTCAGCCGGGATGGCAAAGCTGCAGGCAGCTTTCTCCCCCTCCCTCTCCCCCCCCCCAAGAGTTCAGAGCCTTCATAAATATCCGCCCTGTCAATTTCCTATCAAGCTACGATCAACAGATGTTTGCAAACTGGACTCGGTTAGAAAAGGAAGGGGCTAATTGGCCAGCTTGAAATCTCCAGCTGACGTCTCTTCCCCGTGGCCAGAGCAGAGCAATAAACAAAGATTTTGGCAGGATTCATGGAGCCCTGGTTTAATTAAGGCTCCTTGGGGCTTGGGAGGGGATGGGGGGGGGGGAGAGAGAAAATGGAACCAGAGTCCTCGCTTTGAACCAGGAGTAACGCAGAGGATGCCCGAAAGCCATTGATTTCTTAATCAAGGGGCCAGTATTGAAAGCGTAACGTCATGTCCGTCTAAGATTGGCGCTTGTCTTAATAAGAGAATCCCTCTTGGGGGACCTGGAGAGGGGAAATGTTTCAGCCCTTTTGGGTTTCCCCTGGCTCCTGCGGGGGAATGAGTGAGCGGGAGATGTTGATTTCGAGAGGGTGGGTGCATTCGGATCCAGGGCAAAGGGGGGATTCAGCAGGTCAGGGTCTGCCTCACGCGGGCGTTTCTTAAATCCTCGTCCCTTGGCTTCGCCCTTGGCCAACGCCCGGCTGCCCATCCGTGGCCCAGTCCGAAGGCGAGAGAGTCAGCTTGCCACAACAGAGGCCTCCTCCCTTCTTTTTCTCCAACGTCAATTTATTTAAAAAAAAACAAAAAACAAAAACAAAGACTAAGAAATAACCGTCTGGAATCCTTCGAAAGATCACAGGAAAAGTGGTGGTAGCAGAGGAGGAAGAGGAGGAGGAGGAGGGGGGAAATATCTTTCAAAAGGTCCTGGATTGGACCAACGTAAGCTAGAGATGAAGAAGGTTGGGGGGGGACGACGACAATAAACCCCCCTCCCGTTGAGTACTATAGAAATCAAAGAATTAAAAGGTGGCAGCTACTTTGCACACTGGAAGGCTTACAAAAGGCATTAATACTGAGATAGGAACGGACGTCTATATTACAGCAAGAGGTTATTCACAAAAGTCTGGCTCCCCTCTGGAAATAGCCGACCTTCTCCGGATTTTTGTTTTTTTTTTGGGGGGGAAGCTCCCCCTTCATCTCCATCTCTTCCAAAGCTTAAAAATCACAGTTTCGGTGTGTCGTCCCCCCCATGCCCCGTTGAGGCTGGCCACGACGCACAAGGGCAGCCCGCTAAACTGAGTTTGCCAGCCAAGAGGGCATCCACGCCGGCGGAGGGAAAGAAGAATTAAAAAACAAAGAAGGTTTTCAGGTGGAGGCGCTTAGCGTAAGGGGGGCAGCGAACCGAACATCCCAAATTTGTTTCGAAGGACAACGCTCCCCCCTCCAACCCTCAAACCCCCCCCCCCAAGGTTTCCCTGCTCCCACATTTCTAGGGTTTCGCCAGGCGGGGAGGTTAGGGAGTGCAGAAGGATCGATTCCCTCTTGGGCCAATGGAGTGAATCATGCAGAGAAGCAGCGGGTGACCTCCGGGCTCTGCACGGACTCTGGCAGAGTGACACGGGGCAACCTCCCTTCCGAAAGAAAAAGAAGAGAAGGAAGAAAAAGAGATGTGCAATCCCCAACGACCCAAATTGGAGCAAGCTTGGCTTTGGGTGGGAGCCGTAATTGTCTCCTTCCCAAGGCAACCGAGGTCTACCTCTTGAATGAACGGGGAGTGAGGGACGGGATCGAAATGGTTTATGTAGTCATTCCTTTATCTGGGGAGTGGGGGTGGATGGGTGGTGTCCGACGGAGAGGGCAGTTGCTTCGATTGCGCCTCATAAGAGCCCAGCCTAGTTTCAGACCGAAGTCTGCACTGGACAGGAGGGAGGCAGAAAGGTTAAGATAGCAATATAGCAATAGCAGTTAAGACTTATATACTGCTTCATAGGGCTCTCAGCCCTCTCTAAGCGGTTTACAGAGTCGGCATATCGCCCATCCACAGTCTGGGTCCTCGCTTCACCCACCT